ATACATGAACGTCTTGCCGCAGCTTTTGACGCTGTGGCCCAAGAACTGCTCCATTTTGCAGTCCTTGAGGAGAGTGGCCTTGCCGAGCCACTTGTCCTCTTCGAGTACGTCGTGTCCTTGAGCGCAGCGGCGCGGATTGCTGTTTCTTGAGGCGCGCTGTCTTGGTCGATTCGTCCTCGTTGGCGCGCGTCGTCGCATGGCGCTTGCTCTCGCCTTCCTGGCGCGCAGCTTTGGAGGGCTCATCTTCCTTGGCCAGAGTGGCGGTGCGGTCGTTTCGATTATTGGTGAGTCGCGCTGCTTTCGTGTCTCCGTCTTCCTTTGCGCGCGCCGCCTCATGGGCGAGTCGATCCTTCTCAAGGCGCGCCGCTTTGGCCGCTGCATCTGCATTTGTGTGAACATAATGCCAGTACATGTTAGATGTGCATAGTGTTCACGCGTGGCCATAACGGCGAATACCCGTCATCAATGGAGCCGCCAAATGCTTGGCGTGCCACTAAAGCATTCGTACTGCTTCAACCAACGGTGGAGTGACATATATGAACATCTTGCTGCAGCTCTTGAGAGGACGACGAGGACAGCTGCCCCATTGAGCTGTCAAGATGCAAATGGCACTAAGTCGACCACCTTTTGTCCAGTCGGTGTGTTGTCCCTTTCTTCTCTTTCCCATTGGCGTTGTCATAGGGATCATCAAAACATGGCGTGACAGGTGCAACGTCTCCATTGATGGTATGCACTTTATACAGCACGAGCTGCGTGGCAGTGTTGGTGTCCATAGCACGGTGGTACTCACAAACTCTTGGCCGCTCGTGTTCCTGGTTGGGGCTGGTAGAAATGCGTAGGTTTCGGCTTTTGCTGTACATGAGCGCGTTGTGCCTCTATGTCTATGTAGTCGCTCCTTGACACACTATGTCGCTTTGGCCGCTGCATTGCCAGGTGGACGTACGGTTCGTCGAGCCATGTACGACGTCATTGGGCAGCTATCGCGGGCAGCTATTGCGCGCGTTTTCTGCGTTGCACAATGCGGGCCTTTTTCTGCACTTGGCCAATGAGAACGTACCGGCGGGCTCATTTCGTACAATCCGATACTGCGCGGACACAAGACCGACAGCAGGCGGCACATTAATCGCCTGTGGGCTGGTGTAACCAGTAGGCTCCTACCAGTATTATGCGTGCATACAACTTCACTCGTTTAATGAATTGTGATTGGAATTTGACGGGCAGGGCACCCATTGAAATCCCTAGGCTTCTCATTGGCTAAAACTCATTCCTGATGTGACGTGGCGGCCTCATAGCGATGCCCTCGCAGCCCTTTCGACTCATACGCATATAACTGGGCACATAACTCGTTTATTGATTAGCCTTAGTGGTTGCCGTCTGTACGATTGCGTTGCCTTTGCTCGACAGGCGCTCCCGGAGCGCGAGGTTGTCTTGGCTCGGGTGCGCGTACTCGCCAAAGACGAGCATACTCGGTGCCTTTGAGGACTAACCTCGCGAGGCAAGCGAGCGCCGAATGCATATACAAAGATCCCATTTAAAAGACCAATCAGTGTGGATACCCTGCAGCTCGAAAGCGTACCTGCGTACACATTCTTGAGGTCATCATCATAGCCGGGCAACCTACGATCTTTGTCGAGACCTGCGAGCGGCTGCTGAGCGTCGACGCCATGAAATCCTTCTCTTGCACGCACCACGTAATGAACCCAAGAAACAATTCGTAATCGAAGGCGCGTACATCTCGTCCGCGGCTTCCTTGAATGAGCACGGCTTCAGGAGTCCGGGCTTCACATGGACCACGCGCACCCGCTTCTCGATCTCGTTGAGGCTGCTCTCGGACGTCTTCCGGGACGGCATTGCCGTGCGCATGTGGCGGGCGCCCTCAGCCGTAAATTTCTACAACTTTCTACGTTGTACAAAATTGTAGCGGTCGAATACGTCCGCGTCGGCGCTCACGCGCGTGCACGTTGGCCGCCTATGGTCATTTTTCTCTGCACCCATTCGCCAAAACGCCGCCCTTTTCCCCTTTTCTTCGGCCTGTGATTGGCCAGGAATTGTAGCGGGGACACGACCGCAAAGTTATTTTCCGCTGTCGTTTATGCACGATTCAAAATGATTGATACAAATATCAAGTCATTATATTCCTGGCTGTCAACGACGCAAAAATATTTGCGCCGGGAAATTATCCGCATACACTTGTCCACGGCACAATTTTCGTACTTTCTCATTTTTGTTGTGGCGCCATTCGATCCAAAGCATCGCAAGGTCGACCAGATTCAAAACGAGATGGCTAAGACTTTGCACATTGATAGAGGGCGCTTTGGGGAGTACGGCAAACGACGTCGCATCGACGTGCGAGGCGCACAGTGGTAGCGAGACGCGATCCAAGATGCGCGCCAAATTAAGATCGTAGTGCCATCTGAGAGGCACACTTCAGGCGCCGACGTCGCTTGCTCGACACAATCACGTTTGAAATGGTGTAGAGCTACCAGAGATGAGATATTCACAATACCGGTACTGTGTATTGGTATTAATATGTGAAAACTCCTGATTTCTATGACGTGGCACTCGGAGAAGGTCCCATTTCCGCGCAAGCATTCAGTCGTGTAAAAACAAGCGTAGAATCGAGCACGACAAAGGCAAAACGCAGTGCTTTTACAAGAGAACCGAAATAACCTTGAGCGCTGTTCATGCCGCAATCTGCGCTCCAGGGCCTCGGTCGCACGGCAGGGCGGACGCAAGCCTCCTGTCGACTGTAGACGGTGAAACTCGTGTGGCCGAGGCCCTTCTTTCGTTACGCATCCCTGTCATTCAGGGCATTGGTTTACTAGGCAAGGGCTTGCAAAGGTCGCTGCGCCCTTATGCGCTTGCGAATGCTTCTCGTCGAGGACCTATGCGGCTTGGGTGTGGCATACATGTAGGCTATGCCACACCATACAGAACCAGTGGTACCAGTAACGTTTTGAGCACCATCACAGCCATCAAGCACCGGCACTAGTACCTTGACGCAGGTGCACATGCGCAAAAGAGGCTCGCGGAGGTGAGGTGTCAATCCAGTGTCGGGTCGTGGCTGCTGGCGTCGATGCAGCCATCGGTGCCGTGGCGGTAGAAAGAGCATTGCTTTTACTTTGGGTGTCTACGTGCTGTGAGTTGTATAGTCGATGCGCAGAGACAAACGCCGACAGCGACTACCTCGAGCGCCTGTGCGAGGACGATTGTCTCGACCCAATGGTCTCGACCCTTGTCGCCCTCGTTTCGAAGTTTCCGGACAATATCCGGACACCAATGGCAATTCCAAATGGGCGACACGACGACGAGCCGCAACGACATCGGTGCAGCAGTAGGCGCTGCACGCGCGCCGCGTCGCGTTCGGAGCGCGCGCGTCATCTCGCGACACCGAGACAGACGCTTTGACCTCGAGCACATCACGCTTTACGTCCTGCTGCTTGCACACGACAGCCAGCACCGAGACCGCTGGCGATCATGAACCTCTCGTCCGCTGCGATTCTTTCGCCCACCGTCGCCTCAGAGGCGATTCCTGCTCGCGTTACGAACGAGCGGAGCTTCGAGCCCTCGGTGGTCACCAACAGTGGCCGCGCGCATCCATGGTGCACGGCGTGCTTGGCACGGGCCTCGTACTTTGAGGCGTCGGCGAGTCGCTTGTTGGCATTTGGCACAAGGTACTACACGTCTTTAACACCACTTGAATCTCACAGATTGACTAGCGTCCTGAATCGAGCAAGGTCTCTAGCCTGTCGCCGTTTGTGGTTCTCCTCCTCCACGTCGTGCTTATCCCAGGAAAAAGCATGCGCGCGCTCGCTCTGGACCAGCTCTGCACAGCCTTCTCGAGGCGGGTGAGCAGACGCCTCTGGTACTGACGTCGTGGTTGACCAGATACACGACAGACTCGACGATTGTGGTTGTCGCTCGCTCTGACAAAGACGCAGACCGAGGCCATCTGGCTGCTTTCGGACGAGGCGCTCACGATGGGAACGGTCAAAGGATCCGTCCTGTTACTGCTGCTTTGCCATGCGCATACTGTCAGCGCCACATGCCTCTTTATCTTGCTGGTGCTACCAGCACGCGCTCATGTCATGGACGGTACACCCGAAGCGTCGCTGCCGTTCGACAAAAAGGCCTTGCTGCGGCATCTGTACCGAGCGCAGCACAACTTGGGACCCGAGACGTTATCACCGAAGCGCAGCAGCGCGTCTTTGGAGCCGAACTCGCCGCCAACAACGTCGACTTCGATCCATTCTGGCCCGAGGTAGCCCCCGTCTTGCCAGAGCACGTGCACGAAGGCAGCCTCCAAAACGAGTTTGAACCGTGGCTCGAGCGCGACGACGATAACTCTCGACTCTTGGTTGTGTGCCAAGTCCAGTCGTATGCCGTGTCGCCCGAAGCGCCGACGCATCCCGGTCAACGCCTCTGGCAGCTCGGCTCGGGCCTCACCAACGATGCGATTGTCGCGACTGGGATGCTCGTCGTGGCCTCCGACAACATTTTGCTGCCGACAATCGAGTGCCGGCAAGCGTTCGGGAACACCAACGTGCGCACTACGGGCGACAGCCGCGAGGTACTGGTTGACCTGGAAACTATCAAATCGACTGTAATATGGCTAGGTGTTTTGCCCCGAGCGCCACGCATTGCAGATGCAAACCACGGGCTATGTGCAGCTGCATCCGCGCCGGCTCATCATGGTCCCGAGCGCCGGCTCTTGACTTTTCACGCGCTGGACGCCACACAAAAAGGACATCTCACGCTGCTGCGCGTCTACTTTGTGCACTCGGACGTGGACGTGCTCTCGACGGCTTATGTGTTTCCGCAGCAGCGCGCCTTTTTACTCGACGCACTCGAAGGCACGCGTTTCGCAAGCGTTCCCGACAACGTCTTGCGCATCATCGAAGCGTTTGTGGGTCTAGCCTTGCTGGACGCGGCAACTGCAGACGCCATCGCGGTTCGTGCCAAAGCTGAGCGTGACGACAGCCTCACGCAGTTGACACCAAATGGATTGTGATGAAAAGTAGCTCCTTTGAGCTACAGCACCATATAGACCCTCGTAAACGAATGCGCGACTTGACCAACGGAAACTCTTGTCCATAGAAACGATTGCTTAATCTCAAGCCAGTGCTCATGCCAAACGACCATGTCGCGGCAGACTTTAACAGAAAGGACAGACTATATTCATTTGCTGGTGTCAAAGACCCCATTCAAGGCCCCGAGGAGCACTCTCATGCAAGCGATAGGAATATAATCGATGCGGTGAGACAAACGCTGACAACGACGACCTCGAGCGCCTGTGCGAGGACGATGATCTCGCCCTCGTTGCGTCGTGTCGAATTATCCGGACAATATCTGGATACCATTCCTGGTGCGATTCCAAAAGAGTTATCACGGCGACAAGCCGCGCCGCCGGCGTAGCAGTAGGCGCTGCACGCGCGCCGCGTCTTTTAACGAGCGGAGCCTCCAGCCCTGGGTTGTAATAATCGACATTGGCCGTGCACCACCCAAGATTTACGGTATAGATGCCAGTTTGGCGCTGACCTCGTGCTTGAAGCGCTTGTTTTCGTGTTGGGAGGCTGGTTGAAACTAATATCAAGGCTATTTATTGAATGGCCTTGTCAATATTGAAAATGCAATATAAATGTAGGACCATGGTACGATACCACACGGTGGATCACTCGCAGTTGCGTGCTGCCGCACACACGAAATTCAAAATACATACTCGAGAAAGATAGGGCTCGCACGATCCGCAATCAAGTAAGGACCGTTGATGTCTTTGGCACGTCAATTGGAGATACACAACTAGAGCTCTCGTGTACTTGCGTGCATGAATCGAAGGCACCATTGGTGTCTCGGGCCCATCGATACGCTGCAATTGTATTACGGGGCGGCGCTCTCCTTTTAGTCCAATCGGGATGAGCCACACAGTAGGACGCACGTCAAAACGCCGCACGCGCTCGCCGCACAAGCTCGAGTTGATACTTTTTATCCGCTCCAATCCGGCAATTATTCGACCGGGTCAGATCGATGCTTGAGAATTCTCTCTATCAAACATTGCTATAACTAGATGTTTGTATGCTCCCACCGCACAGCTTCCAATCGATTTACCGGTATGCATCAAACTCTTCAGTGGTGCCGATCTTTTTTCTTTGTGGCGGCGTCTCTGTCATCAGCTCCAAACGCAATTTCCAATGCCTCACAATTCAATTCGCCACCGAGTAGGCACTCAGCACCAAGTCCAGCACCGCCCTACCAGCATGAAAGACATCATCCTCATCATCGGCAACCCCGGCACGGGCAAGAGCACGACGGCCAACTGCCTCGCCGGCCAGGTCCTCTTCGACGCCAACGTGAGCTACGGCCGCGGCCTCACCGTCGAGCTCAGCGAGCGCGAGTGCGACGGCACCACGTACATGGACACGCCGGGGCTCGCCGACCGCGAACTAGAGAAGGCCGCGGCCGTCGCCATCACGACGGCGCTCCAGCGCACAGGCCGCTACCGCATCTTCTTCACAGTGCGGCTCCAGTTCGGCCGCGTGGTGCAGGAAGACATCCTGACCATGCAGCGCGTCATGGGCAGCATCCACATCAAGCACACGCTGACGTTCGCCGTCATCATCAACCAAGTCGATGACGAAGACTACACGCATCTCGTCGAAGGCGCCGACTTCTGCCAGGAAGACCGCGACCGCGTGCTCGCACAGGTCAATGCCGGCAGCTTCACGACGCCCAACATCTTCTTCCTGCGCAAGATCCCCGCGCTGAGCCGCAAGAAGAACGCCGTGACGCAGCTGCCGTCGGACTTTATCGAGTTTGTCCGCAACGTGCCGCGCATCGTAATCGAATCCAAGAAAACATCTCGGACGTCACGACCAACGAAGAGGAGATGAAGCAGCTGCGCGCCATCATCGCCGCCAAAACGAGGGAGGTCGACGACGCCAAGGCCGCCGCCGAACACATGGCCCGCGTCACGGCGCTCCAGATCGAGCAGTATGAAGCCGCCGCGTCCCGCGATAAGAAGCTCATCGAGCAAGCCCGGCTCGACAAGGCCGCAGCCGAGCGAGAGGCAAACAAGCAGGCCAAGCAAGCGAAGGAAGCGAAGAAGGCTGCCGCGGCTGCGTTCAAGAAAGCCGCCGAGGACCTCGCCAAGGTCAAGGCCGATGCCAAAAACGCAGCCAAGGCGGCAGACAAGAAGGCAGCCGAGGACATTGCGAAGCTGAAGGCTGACGCCGATCGCGATGCCAATAAGGCAGCCAATGACCTCGCCAAGCGGAACGAAGAAGCCGCGCGCGCTGCCGAAGCCAAGGCAACCAAAGCGGCCAAGGAGATCACGAGGTTGAGAGCCGAGGCCGAGAAAGCGGCCGAGGTTGAAGCCCGGCAAACCAAGGCTGTAGCAGCGCATCGACTCTTGTCGGCGAAGACCGAAGCCCAGCGGCTCAAGGACAGCTACGGCGTCGGCGTCTCGGTGCAATTCGTCATCAGCAACAACTCGGTCAAGCATAGTCTCTACAAGCGTAGCGCCCAGATCGACAGCGGCAAGGGCGTGGACGACTGCATGGTCAAGTTCCCGAGCGAGGTCGCACCCCACTGCAGCGAGGCGGGCTTCCACGGCAGGAAGAACAGCGCCATGGCGGGATCGGCGGGCCACATTGTCTACGAGATCAACGACGCCGAGCTCAAGATCTCGTGGGTGCAGCCGTACTGGGCGGGCGAATTCTCGTCCTCGGTCACCGTCTCGGGTTCCAACTTTTCCGTAATCCAGATAGCCACCGGCAAAGACACCAGCAATGCCGTGCTCCACGTCACCATCACGGACGCCCCGTAGATTGTGTGCGTATAATAGTCATTCATTAAATGAGGGATCATCATCAGCGCTTTCGTCCCCTCGGCTATAGATCTAAATGCATGGGGGGACGAAGGGTGTTCGTGTTGGGAGGCCGTCGCCGCCCAAGAAGGGACTGGTGGGTGGGTTAAAAGAGCGTTTAGTAGCTAAGAGGGTTGGAGCTGGACGAGCAAATCGCAAATGCGCGGGAAGTACCAATTAGGTGGTGGGTGAAATACCGCACGCGCATTGGTCTAAAATCGCTATAACACTGCCTTTGGGCAACGGCATTGGCTGATTTTTGGTCAAATGCAACACCCGCATTGGTCTAAAAGAAATAATTCAGTGCTCGGTCAAGGCGACACAGAAATTTGTCTCGGTTTGTCTCGGTGTACGATGCGCCTGGGGGCCAAGCGGGCGCTGCTCTTGGTGGCCGTCGCCATGGTGGGTGCCGTCGCGGCGATCGTTGCCGTCTCCGTGTCCAAGAAGGTTGGACCGTCAA